TTTTGCCAATTGATGATTGTAATAATTTGGAAAAATCACAGAAGTAAATAATCATTGTCATGACACACGGAAGCAGGGCTACGGCTTTTAAAACTGGAAGGCAGGCATATGTCTTGCCACACTGCTGTGAAAGGAGACAGGAAATAGGGATGTAAGTAAAGAGGATGCAAAAAAAAAAAAATGTGGGAGCACAGAGGGACAGAATACCCTGCGGAACGAGGCACTGTCGGGGTGAGGATGGGAGGCCAGTGCGCCCACTGACTCCGATCTGCGTGACCTTGGGCAAGGCACTCTAATTCCTGAGGCCAGGGTCTTCCTTCTGTGTTTCTGAGACAATGGCCACCGCACAGCCTGTGTGGGATGGAAGTAATCAGATATGTAAATCAGCTGGCACAGTGCCCGGCCAACGGAGCCTGCCCATGAGAGCTCAAGGGGATTCTAGGCCAGGCTGGGACAAAAATGGGTCCCAACGCATGGGGACGGAGTCTGCTAGGGCACCGGAGTTAGACCCAGACAAGGTGAGGAAGGGCAGAGATCACAAGCTACCAGATGCCAGGCAGCTGCAAGGTGAGAGGAAAGGGCTCTGCTCGAGACTACAGACCTCACACTTTTCTGTAAAAGGCCAGATAATAACGTTTCACGTTTTTAAGACCTTATGTTCTTCGTTGCACAATTCAGTCCTGCTGAAGTAACAGGCAAGCAGGCACACATGGACCGGAAGTGAATAGGTGGGGCTGTTTTCAAGGAAGGCTGATGTGCACACACAGAGGCCGGCAGGACCACGGCTTCCCAGCCAGTAGCCCAGCCCTCCTCGGGTCTGTGATGCATGTGATACACAAGAACAAAGCTGCCACCGTCCCCTCTTTCTGGACATCTCCAGGAAGACCTGGAGGATCTGCTCCCGAGGGAAGGCTAGCAGGAACAGGCCCGCAGGTCCCTGTCCCTGACAGCGGGGAGTGGAGGGAAGGGAACTGTGATGAAGGGCGGGAGCTGTCCCTGATGCCCTGTCTGCACAGTCAGACAGCAAACCGCTGACTCAGGCAGGCGGCACGCTGGATACTGAGATGCCTGGCTGACAGGCAGGTTTGCTGCCAGGAGGGTGTGTTTGGAGTCTCCTTTTCCTAACATCCTTCTTGCTGTCTTCCCAGGGCCCAGTGAGGTCCATGCTCCTCTTGCCTTAGTGGTAATGGGATCCTAGCCAATGGGCAAATCATAACACAACTCCTTTCCTGTTTGGCTGCTGTAGCGAAGTGAGCACGTCTTGGGAAACAGTATCGCACCTACACTGGTTTCAAATCATTAAGAGCTGCAGCTCTCCAAGGTCGGCCAGATGCCAGGCTCCTTGGCCTGGGGAGCAATTAACCCTCTTCCACCATCACACGCTCTCTGGAAATAAACCTGGAGTCCCCAGAGAGCCCCGGGGAAGCAGAAGTGCAGTGGTCCCTCCATGGCTGCAGGAGTGTCCACAAGTCCCTGGCGGGCTGCTCTTCTCTCGGTTAGGCTCGCTGGACTGCACAGAGCTCTGTATGTACAGAGGAGACCTCAGGACTTGGGACAACTTCTCCTACCTGAACACTGGGCTCCAGCCTGTGTGTCCTACTTGCTGGACATTTCTCCTTACTTTTCCTGGATTTAAGGCATGACCGTCACTGTGGGCATAGCCATTTCCAGCCTGGTCCCCTGCAGGTCTAGGGGGACCTTTAGTGCTGTAGGGAGGGACACAGCTGATTCCCAGCGTTAGAGGAAGGAAACATTTTGGTCCAATAGCCATCCAGATAGAAACATAAGGGAGGATTTGAGAGTGGATTGAGCTCTTTCTCCAATAAAAAAGTGCAGCACACTTCTTTTTCTGACAATAGTATAAACTTGCTTTTATGACACTAGTTATAAAACTCTTAACATTTGTCTAGTGCTGGCAGTCTTTATTTTTTTCTTGGACATTCAAATGATGAGGGAGATGGTGACCCCTAAACCCATCTCAAAGTAACACATCCTGTGTACTGGAAAAAACAACAGAGCCTGTGTCGTGCAGGACAGGTGCAGACGTGGAAAGGTCACCCTTGACTATCTGTGTCCTTATGTGTTCTCTTTATCACCTATTTCTTACACTAGTACTCATGAGTAAGAACCTCAGGGTTTAGGTCAAAAACGGCCCCCAAGAGCCTCATGTCCTCAGAGGCTGGGCTTTGGGAGGTGATTGAACTGTGGGGCGCTATGGCTGAGCTGCTGTTAGAGGTGGAGCATGGTGAGCAGTGGGGAGCCCGGGCCATGCCTGGAAGGGTGCATTTCCCTCCATAGTCCCTCTGCTTCCTGGCCACCAAGCTGTGAGCAGTGTTTTCCTCACAACACCCCTCAGCCATGCCTTCCTGCCTCGGAGCCAGGCGACCATGGATGGAAATTTCTGAAACTGTGAACCAAAATAAACCTCTCTTCCTTTAAGCTGTGGGTGTTGGGCTAAGAGGGTTAAGTCTTGGCAGGAGCTGAAGAACAGTGTGTGAGGAGCGCTGGGGAGCTGTGAAGAGGTGTTTCCTGGGTGAGCCCTCTGCACACTGACCACCGTCCACAGGGACTTAGTGGTGTGATCGTCCTAAACACACCGGGGAAGGCAGAGAAGGAAGGGGCGGCATGTGTGGGAGGCTGAGCGCTGCCTGACTCGGTCTGGGTTTATTTATTTGGGGGAGCAGCGAGGTGCACAGAGCGGTATTCCTCACACCCCTTACTTTAGGACGCCTGTCCACTTCTCCAGGCAGAGCCCTCTTCTAGCATCAAGTCCTTTAATATATATCCTAATGAGAAATGAAAAAGGAACAGAAAATCCATTTGCACCCAGCAAGATGCTTCTCCCCACCGCCACTCTGTGCTTCTCATGTGCGGCAGCCCCTACGGTGAGTCTTGTATTAAACCAGCATTACTTTGCATGTGTGTAGGGGGTACTTTATCTTTTTAAAAGGGTGTGATGGTGAAGGCTATTTTCTATTAGTTGACCCATATGAAATTGTCTATAACGTACTTCTGCTCAATACTATCTTGCGAAGGTCCATCCATCCTACTCAACGCAGCTGCAGTTCATGCATTTCATTGTGGATAATAATTTTTACCCTGTTAATAGTCATTGGGAGGGTTTCCAAGGTTTGGGCTCCATAAGCAATGATGCCCTGGGTTCTCTTGTCTACAGAAATGTGGGTGGACACACTGGAGTGGAATTGCTGGATCATAGAGTACGTGATGTTCCATTTTACAAGAGAATGACAAACTCTCTTGCGGAGTGATGGTACTGGGTACACTCCCACAAGTAATTAAGCACCTGCTAGCCCTTCCTCTCCACCACCTCTCATTGTGTGCCTGTTTAACTGGCCTCAAATGATGTATCCTTATGATCACGATTTGCATTTCTCAGGCCACGGATGACGTGACCATCTCTTCCTCTGATTACTGGCCATATGTGTTGCCTCCTCTGTGAAAGGCCTGTGCAAAGCTTTTGCCCATTTTTCTATTTAATTGTGTGAGCTTCTCATTGATTTACAGAAGTTCATGATATATCCTTGATACTAATGGGGTATCGGTTATTTGCATTGTAAATATCCCCTCTTTAGAGTGCCTTGTGATAAAGTAGCTCTCTTTTCTCTTACAAGAAGTGCTTTTTGCGGCCCTGTTGCAATGAATCTCCATGAGACCCTACGTGGATGGAGGATTGGCTCTGCCTCACAGGCAAAGCTGGCTGAGAAGGGGAACTCGAAAGCCATCTGGCCCAAGGCTCACACTCTGGAAAGACTTAAATCAACTGTGTGTTCATTATCTCCAAATGAGGTTACCTGCAGCCACAGAGATTCACTGTCAGGCATGAAAGGAGACCCTGCAGCTGGAGCCAGAGCTCCATCTTAGCAGTGGACCTGGACTTGAGAGGTCTCATAAATCTCGTAAACCCCAGGGCAGTGCCGCTAGACTGCATTCTGTTATTCTGATTCAAATATCAACTTCCAAAGTCTACCATCATGTGCATTTTTAGATATCTTAAGTCTCTTAAAGAGAAATTGCCCAGTCTCTCAGCTCCAAGAGGTACCAGACCTGGAGAATGAACGTCCTGTTCCATTCACCCTGCTGGTGAGTTGCAGAAAAAGTACTTTACCAACACGTCAGGCTCCAGAGCTCAGCACGGCTAAGTGACAAGGAAAGGTCCCCTCCAGCAGGACTGTGTGGGAGCACATTCCCGGCAGGCACTCGGCCCACCCAGGACCATAGGACCAAGGGAGACTGCGCTCTGCCCTGACACCCAAGAGCTTCCTAGGTAGAGCTTAAGTTTCTTGCTCTCTCCCAGGATGGGGTACTGTCAAGCTCTTCACAAAGAGCAGAGCAGTGAGCCATGGTGGCCCCCAAAACTTTCCTATATCCCTGTCCTGTGCAGGGAGGCCAGATGGTCACTGAGTATCCAGAGGGGAGCACAAGGTTTTGTGTGTGTGAGAGAGAGAGATAGAGACAGAGAGACAGAGACACAGAGAGACAGAGACAGAGAGAGGTACAGAGTGGGAGGGAAGGTGAAGCAGGACAGGGATAAACAGTGACACAGGCAGACCATGGCAGTGCTGACCTTGAGGCTACACATCTGTCTCACGCCTGCAGCAGCGACATTGGAGACTGCAGTCATAGCATGTAGAGGTCCCTGGAACCATGGCACCTGCAGCAGCACCCATGGCACCTGTGTGCGTCCACCATCTGGCACTGTGCCCCTGCCCTCACCAAGTGTCCTTAGTCTGGTGGGCAGGGCTCTCTGTGCCACCACCCCTGGCGGCCATGAGGAAGGACAGCCAAGTCTCCAAGGGAGCTTGCCCACGCTTGCCCAACCAGCGTCCCTTAGAAACCAGGAGGCAGCTAAGGAGCAGCCCTCTGCTTCCGCAGCCAAGAATGGGCCACCAAGAACATGCCGAGGGCTCACCCTGCAAATGGCAGGACTGCTGGAATACAGATACCTCCTGGCGTATGTGCAGGGCACGGCCCCCACCTACCTTCTGGATGCCCTCCGAAGGACTGGACACGCAGTTGTCAGCTCCCCCGTTCTTGCTGATGGTCCTCCAGAGCTCCGCAAACGTGCTGTCCTGCTCCAGGGGGTTGGTGCCCTTGGCGCGGAAGTACTCATAGACGGCAGAATCCCAGACGGTGCCGTAAGGCACCTCCACTTGTTTGGACAGGTCCTGGAATGTCCTGAAATGCAGAGAAGCATGGGTACATGCTGTCAAGCATGCTGCAGAGATCTAGGGGGACCGCACTCCCCCAAAGGCCAATGCTGTGGCCGGCATCCACCTTCTTCACACCGAAAGCCCAACAGCAGGAGCCCCTCAGATCCACAGCAGGACTTGCCAGGCCTCAGAGCATGATCCAGTGAGACTATAGCACATGTGGTGAGTGGTTCTGCACTGAGCTTCTAGGATAGAGAGATGAGTATCACATGATGCCTGCCCTCAGGGAGCTTAGCGTCAGCTGTGGACATCTAGAATGCGATCATGATACAAGAGCTGGGTAATGCAAGATGCTAATTATTGAAGGTCTCCATCGAAGCCCACAAATGCTGAACAGGAAAGAACCACGCTGGCAAGACAGAGGACGATAACGACGAAGGCTGGGGCCTGGCGCTCATACTGAGTGCGGCAGACATTGGCATGCTAAGAGCTTGTGCCAACAAAGAGGTGCCCACTCCAAAGCTCCAAGGGGTCCTGGTTTCCCACCAGGTACTGCCTCTGAACACCTTGCCCCAGCCAATTTGCATTTTTTTAAAATAAAGGAAATCAGATTTTTATGGGAGACCTCGTAAGTTTTTTTTTTCTTTTTTCTTTCCTGGTTTTCAAATCAATTATTTACAAGATGCTGATGATTAGACCCAGCCCCCCTGAGGCCTTGGCTTTGTTGGAGGTGGAGCAGAAGCAGGCAGCTCGAGCTTGGCTCATGGTGGAGGGACAGAAGCGAGCCCATCAGAAAGGCCATCAGCATCCCAGGAAAAGATGTCCAAGCTGGCGACAGAGGACAAGATTTCTTTTCAGAAGGAGAAATGCAAATGTTCTTGAATTGATGATTGCGTTGCAGGTCAATAAGCCCAACAGAATCTGAAACCCACATTTACTACATTTAACCTATCAGACATCAAAGCTCAGCCTCGCCCACCCTAAATGTACTGAGGACGCTTGCTCCGCTTGCAGTTGAGCAAAATGATACAACACAAAGCCTGTAAGAGAGTTGGACAGCTCGTGCAAATCACCAGTCACCCACATCCCAAACTCTCTGGCCACAGGCACACAGCTGTGCCTCGTGTCTCCCTCTGTGGCCCCAAGGCTGATGGCAGCTGCAGCTAGTGGTCGCTGCCCAGCACCGTAAGAAAGGATAAAGCCATGCACTGCTAACTGGGAAGAGATCAAAACTCAAAATTGGCAGTGTGGATCTACCGCCTGCTTACTGCTCCGGTACCAAGGCAAAGTCAAGCGTTCCTAAGGTGAGCCATCATTAACCGGGACCATCTGGAGCACAGCAGGAAGAAGCAACTGGTGCAGAGTTCTCCCTTGGCCCTGGAAGAGCTTCGCCCAGCCGCGTGTGGAGACGATGCACAAGCCAGGCGGATTTGGGCATTTGCAACAGTGAGAAATGCCGGTGGACAGCCAGGCTCCAGCCTGGTCGCTCCTAACTTGTTTCTCAGCTGCAGACCTCGGTCTATCCTCCTTATCAGCCCTTATCATTCTCTACCCTCACCCCTCTGCTGAGTCACTGCACCCCAGAGAATAGCCAAGCTTCCGCCCAGAGCTACGCAGCCATTCATCTTCTGGCCCCATGCCTGGCAGCCGCACAGCCCATCTCAGCACGAGAAAGACTACCCACCCCCATGTACAGTGCCAGGCTGTGCCGTGCCCCCTGCCTAGAAACCTTTATCTCTGTCACACACCCCTGTACCTTACAAACCTCTTGAAGATCCAGCCACTGCCTCTCCCCCGGGGGAGCTACTCCAACCCTCACTTTGCTATGGCATCTCGGCACCTTGCAGATTTCAGGGACAGAAGGCCCTCACTGGGACTTCAGAGGGCAGCAAACAGGGGGGATACCCTGGATTTCAGCCTTCTACACTAATGTTACGAGCCCAGACAAGCAAACTGAAGTCCCTGTGCCCATTTCCAGATCTTTCCAAATTGGGGGTGGAAGCAGAGGCCCACTATGAAATTACAGTCACCAGCCTCGTGCAGCGGGCACTGGGGCCCTGGAAGCAGTGGTTCAGAGCTGGGATTAGACATCCGGGTCCCCTGCACTGTAAGAATCAGGAGGCCTGGTGCTGCGGCAGCCCTGACTTTGCATCTAGGGCCCTGGACCCAGGCTGACAGCAGAGCGGCCAGGGGTGGCAGAGCTTCCTCCAGCTTTGGGGACACTCCCCAGGCCCTCCCCAGCTACACAGCATAGCAGCCGAGTTCAGCATTCATTTCAAAACGTCGCGGGTGAAAGGAAACATAAAGTAACTAATTCGATGAAGAAATCTTCCTAATTATTGTGCATTATTTATATCTAATTGAAGCAAGATGTTCCTGTGCTTGAAGGGCCCCCAAGGGTTGTAACTGTGTCATCCTCCCCCTGTAATGAAAGGAAGGGGAGTCTCCCTTCCTCAGTTTTTTTTATTTTTCTCCTGGTAATACAAACAAACGCAAGGCTTTGATGAAAGGAAAGCATCAAGATGAATTACACAGCTGAGCAAAATACTGAACTACTCTAAATAACCGTAGTTTCCACAAGCATGGGATGAATGCATAACGGCCCGGAAGCTCTGCACCCCGACAGGTTCCCGAGCTTGAAATGAGATCTCCTCTCTGTGCTGGCACTTATGTATGACAGCGGCCACGGCCAGAGGCTAAGGGGGCCTCTGTGGGTGGCGGGAGGCAGCCCAAATGTTTACGGTTCCATGTTCCTGTCTGTCCCAATGCAGACCACGGTTCCACCCCAAGCTACCTTCCCTGCACCATGCACCATTGCCACCAAGGGCCATCAGCTGGCAAGCTGCATATCCAAGCGGTGATCCCTCCTCTCTCTCTCCGTCAGCGATGGCTTCCGTGCTCGCTGGCACACTCTGCACACAGCAGGGACCTGCGTCCTAGCTCAGGGTGATAAAGCTATAGTGGGCTATCCACCAGGCTGGCAGGAGGGTCAAGTCACGGCACACCCAGGCTGTGGTCTCCCCACAGGTTGTCCTGTTGTCGGGGTGTGCTCTGACAAGGGGAGTGAAGCCAGCCAGCCACACAGACGCTGCAGCCGGGGCAGACACGGCAGCCAGCCAGGACACCCACCAGGGCGCAAAGTGAGCCTTGCTGCCCGAGCAGCACACCCCACACAGGGCTTCTCTGAAGCCCCTCTCCTCAGCAGCGACTGCTCACAATGTCCAGGCAGTCCCAGCACAGCATCGAAGAGCCGGCCTGCCGCCTACAGGAGGGTTTCTGTCCACACAGAGCGCACCAGCACCGTGCGCACCCTCGCAGCTCCCCAACAGCTCCTGGACGTCTAGTGGGTGGTGGCCCATGGTGACCCCCAGAACAAGGATGAACGAATGGCTAATACACACTGGGATGGGTGGCAGGGGAGTGGTCAGAGCAGAACCCCAACAGGGGGACAAGATGGGGTTCCCAGAGTCACAAGGGAGCTGCTAATAGTTTCAGTAAGAAACCTGAGTCTCTCCCTGGACCTCTAACAGAACGCCCAGCACTGAACACCCATGGAGCAAGACTTCCTGGGGAAGCGGTGAGCAGCCAGGCGAGGGGCACCTCGGGGAGAATGGTTTCCGTGGGCCAGGGCTGGAAGAATCCTTAGCTGAGTCATGGGAGGCAGGTAGAGGCAGCTACAGGGAGAACCCGAGGGGGTCCCAGGAGGAGGGGTCCCCAGGAAGACCACACACTGGTGTGCAAATACAGCTCACTCAGTCATCATGAGGTGACTCTTACAGCCAAAAACACTCGGGCTTTAGAGCCTGACGGAGCTGCATTCATACCCTGGCCCTGGACGCCTTCTTTGGTTGATGTAATCTGGTAGTTCTCAATGTGGTCCTCTGTCACCCTGCTTGGTCCCCACCCCAGACCTGGTAGAGCAGAAATGCTGCAGCCAGTACTCGGCAGTCTTGTGTTTTTGTGGTCCTCTGGGTGACTTGCAGGATGCAAGTCTCAGAAGCAGTGACTGGGGCAAGCATTTAGTGCCTGAGATCTTAGTTTCTGTCATTTATGCCAGCGCCTGGAACTGATGAATGCGAATGATCATGATTATTACATTCGCCACAGAGCCAGCATGTGGTCAATGATGGTGTTTTGTTAGAGGACCAGTAAGAAACTCAAGTGGCTGAATCATGGGCCCAGGAAGAGGAGTTGTGGACACTGGCTGGGGTGGTCACAGGTGGGTGGCAGCAGGTGTGGAGACAGCATTTCATGGCTCCCAGTCTCCTATGATCAGAGCCTGTCTCCCCGGACCGATCGGTCTACTCAGTGAGGAAACTGAGGCCCATCCTGCTTCCACTGTCTTGCCGAGGCAGACTCAAATATTCCCTACTGTCATCCAGTCCATGGCCCCACCACCAGGGCACACTCTGGGTGACCAGAGCAATCTGAACCAGTGACCAGCAGGGAGACACCGGCTCCGCTGATAGGTACCTGCACTCTCCCTTGGTGGACGTGGTGGGACTGTCTCAGAGACGCTTTGTGGGGAAGCAACAAGCAGCTGGACGAGAATGGCCCCAACAACTTCCGGCTCCAGGCTGGGCCTGGATGGGCTACTGAGTCTCACGCCAAGGCTCCCCTGGTGCCTCCTGCTGGCATCAGCTTACTTCGACTTTGGATGAAGCTTAGCATTGGGATTTTCCCAGGGCAAAGCCTGCCCTCACCTCCAACTCTACTGACATTGGAGTTGGAACCAATGGGAGCTCCTTCTCCATAGCCCATCCCTGGATTGCTGATCTTGTGGTCTTCCCTTGCCAAAAGCATAGCAGACACCAATGAGCAGATCAGACAGCCTTGCAAAAGGACCTTGCAAGCATCGTCTGCATCTGAGAACAGTTCCCAGCTTTGCACACAGGAAGTTCCCAGTGTCTCCTTCGGCTGTGGCCCAGGGCACCCCCCAGCTCAGCCCCACCGCCCGTCTTCCCCACACCTTTCCCCACAAATCAATCTTACTACTTCCTAGATACATTTTCATTAACAAAGAGA